GTTAAGACAGTACTCTCACCTCACATCTGGAGTTCAGTTCTTTGTTGATGTCTGGATCAATGCTTTATTGAGGTCAGGAGCTGAGTGATTCTGGCAGAATTCAAACTGGGCATCAGTGAGCAGAATATTTCTTTTCAACTGCTGCTTGATAGCACTGTCAATGAGCCCTTCTATGCTTTGTTGATGATTGATGAGTGAGGGCAGTTATTGGCTACGTTAGATTTATCCTGCCATTTGTGGATAGAACATATCTGGGCAATTTTCTGGATTGTAAGGTTATTGCCAGTACTGTAGCTGTACTGTAAGAGCTTGGCTAGGTACAAGGCTAGTTCTGAATTACATGTCTACAGTATTGTGGCTGGATTGCTATCAGGACCCATAGCCTATTCAATATCTAGTGCCTTTGTTCTCACCTCAGAATGACAGTCTCATCCCAAGGTACTCGATCGTTCCTTGATTGGCTTTCCCTGGGACCAGGAGCCATTAACTGAACTGTGATGAACTGAACGTTGTCTTAATTTTACTTTTTTATCATTATGTATGACTTCTGTCATTAATATAGGCACTATGGTGTGGCAAATTATAAAACTGTTCACTGTATTTTTCATATAAAAGTACACGAGACAATAAATTTCTATTCTGTACTATTCACGTGGATGGAATTGAGCTGACTGAAGATTGATATTTGTTACCTTTGGAGGAGGTGAGATGGATCATCCAATCAGCACTTCTGCCTGATGATAGTTGCAAGTACGTCAGCTTTGTGTTTTGCACTGATGTGCTGGGTTCCCCCTTTGTTGGAGCTGCTGGTAGTTGTGAGACCTCCCCTATCTGCTAGATGCTGAATTGTCCACTGCCATTCATGACTGGATGCAACGGGATTACAGAGCTTAGATCTGATTCTTTGTTTATGGGAACTCTTAATCCTGTTTATCACATGCTGTTTCCACTGTCGTTTTGTAAGCAGCATGTAAGTTGTAACTTTATGTTGACAGCTCATTTTTAGAATATGCTTGCGCTGCTCCTGGCATGCCCACCGTGTTTCCTCATTGAATCAGGGCTTATCTTCCAACTTAATGGAAATGGTAGTGTGGGAGATATGCTGGGCCATGATGTTACAGATTGCAGTTGAATACAATTTTGCTGCTGGCCCACAGTGTCTCATGAATGCCCAGTTTAGAGTTGCTAGATCTGCTCAAAATCCACTCCATCTATACGCCACACAACATGATGGAGAGTATCCTCAATATGAAAATGTGATTTCAGTCTACAACGACTTTAGGGTGATTGCTCTGATTTATACTAAAATGGACGGACACATTTGTTACAGGTAACCAGTTACGACCAGTTCAAGTAGATTTTTCCAACTCTTTGGTGTCCTCATAAATTCTCGCACAGTCAGTCTAACAGTTATGACTTCTAGGACTCAACCAGGACAGTCAATAATGATGCTACTGAGCCATTCCTAGTGATTAACATTGAAATCTTCCACTCCGAGTCTATTCAAAACCATGCCATTCTCCATATTTCCTGGTGTTTGACATGGAGGAGTACTGATTCATCAGTTAAAGGAGTGTGCAGGCAATTTCCTTGCCCATTTGACCCGATGCCATGAGACCTCATGGGGTCCAGCATCAATTTTGAACAACGGTATTGCAATCATCCCAACAGTACACCACTGTGTCGCCCCCCCGCCCCTGCACGTGGAACAGAACACACCCAGGGATGATGATGGTGGTATCTGGGACATTGTCTGTAAGTTAAGATTCTATATGCCTGACTATGCCAGGCTTTCAATTTTTCTGTGGCACAACAATCCCAAGTCCCCAGATGGTAGTAAGAAGGACTTTACAGAGTTGACAGGCTGTGTTTGCTATCATTGTTTCCAGTGTTTGGGTCGATGCTGGGTAGTCTGTCCAGTTTCACTCCTCAAGCTCTTTTGATGAAGTTTATCAATAAGCAATAAGAGGAAGATAAAATAATGATTGAATAATATTCTTGTGCTGTTCTATGACAGCTTCTACTGTAACTTCACTGGAAAACCCTGACTTGCGACATAGCTGGCACCTTAATAAACTGGGTCCAGGTTACAGGACAAAGTTTCCACGATGATCTGTGAGGATAGGGTCATCAAATGTTGCTATCAGTAATTCCTATGATGAAGCAATTTCATCCTAAATGAACAATTAACATGTACTGATATAATCAGTTTAACTGTGGAAACTGGTAGACCAAAACAGGGATCTATTGATACAATAAAGATTTTGATCTCAACCAGGATGATCCAGGACACCTGAAGAATTCAATCAGAGAAATTATTTCCTTTCTCAGTTGTGGAGTGTTGAATAGCCCATATTCCTGTGTTTCCATGAGGTGCTCCTAAACCTGGAATCCAGCGACCAGATTTCCAGGAAACCTAGGGGAGGATAAGCATTCAAGATATGAGTGACAGTTTTATGATATTTAGATGGCCTCCCTCAGCTCCACATTTTCTGGTGGGATCATTTGTACCACACAAGTTATAAGTAATGATCATCTTCATCAGGAGAGAATTCAATCAATGGCCCTTTATTTTCAATAGTAGTACAATTGCTGTATTCCCCACCATCAATATCTAGGGAGTTACCATTGACTGGAAACTGGACTGGACCAGTAATACACACAACGTAGCCATAAGAGCAGGTCAGAGCCTGGGGATTCTGTGGTAAGTAACTCAGCTTCTGACTTTTATTAGCCTGTCCACCATCTGCAAGGTATAAGCCAGGAGTTTTCTGGAATATTCTTCACTTGCCTGGATGGATATAGCTCCAACGACACTGAAGAAACTTGAAACCATCCAGGACAAAGCAGCTCATCTGAGGCACCCAATCTAACACCTTCAACATACTCTCCATCTATTACTAGTATAGAGCTGCAGCAGTGTGTACACTTTTTAACATGTACTGCAATGACCCTTTAAGAATTGTTAGATAGGACAATTCAAACTGATGACCTCTACCAAATAAAAGGTTAAAGGTAGCAAATACATGGGAATACTGCCATCGTAGATTCCCCTCCAAACCACATCCTGACTTGGAATTATCTCACCTTTCCTTCACTATCATTGGATGAAAATCCTGGAACTCCCTTCCCATCAGCAGTATGAGTGCCCATGCAGCTCAAGGACTGATTTAGTTCAAGAAGACAGCTTATGACTACCTTCTTCAGGACAATTAGGGATGGATTTTAAATAATGACGTAGCCTGCTACACATTCATCCCTTGAATAAATAATTTATAAAGATCACAGGTAACAAATATTTTACTTTCAATTGAAATTGATTTTATATTAAATGTACACAGCTACATAGGTGATGTGTTAAACGAGTATATCAGTCTTCACTAAAGAGAAGGATATCTATATTGCAGTGAAAAGGGACACCATGGAGAAATTGGATTAAGTAAAATAGTTAGAAAGGAGTAGAAAAATAAGCCTGTCTGAGTATGATTCATCCTTTGCTACTGAGTGCAGGAGGGATGGATGTATTTGAGATCATGACCATGATATTTCAAACCTCCTTGGATATGAGTGTGGGATTGGAGGATTTCAAATATTAGTTCGATGAAGAGGAACGTGATAAACTTGGCAATGACAGACCGGTCAGCCTAATCATAGTTGCGAAGAATTTGGTGGAGATACTACTCTGGAGCAAAATAGTTTGTCATTTGCAAAAACATAGGTTAGAAATGAAAGTTAGAGTGGATTTGTTAAAGCCAGTCATGTCTAATGAACTTGATTGTGTTCTTGAGGTATAAAATAATTCATTTTTGTAAGAAGTATTAAGGAGAGGTAGTGGCCATTATTTTATAGCTCTAAAGCTGATAGCAATGGTGGAAGGAAATGTTCATTTAAAAAATCTCATGGGCTGGCATTGGAACACAACTCTGTCATAATGCAGGCATCACAGTTTATTAGTGGTACATGCCAACTCATGGGAATGGTCTTTTATTCCCAAAATAAGCAATTAACAGATAGCTTATGTCTTTAAGGATTTAAGGGACCACGGTGTTACAGGTCATTGCAGTCTCACCAGGTTTATTGGCATGGCAGTGGGATGCCAGCCAAGCTAATTACTGCAAAAGACAGCTATGTGGTCAGTTGGGCTGCCTTCTTAGTAAGCCTGGTGCATCACTGGCAGAACATGTAAAATGGAGGAGAAGGGATTGATCAGGAGTCAAGATGCCCCTCCCCATCTTCATTCTGTGTGGACCAGTTAGAAGGAGCCAGGTATCAGAATGCTCTTTGGGGCTCCGTGTCTCTTTAATGGATTTGGTCGAAGCATCTCCAGTCTATTCAGTCCTTGAAATGCATGAATTGGATGCACTGAAAAACTCAAAGCTATATCACAAAACGAATGAACTGGAAGTATGAGTCTCTGAGACATTTTTGTCCTGTCTTCTGCATCTGGGGAATGGGCAAATCCTAGGGAAATTTGGCTACAAAAATATTTTCATTGTCTGTTGTGAATTGAGATGATTTATAAACAAGTGCCACATAACCTCATCCCGCCCCCTTGACCTGTCCGTCCTCCCTGGACTGACCTATCCCCTTCCTAACTCCCCACCTACACTCACCTTTACTGGCCCCATCCCCGCCTCTTCGACCTGTTTGTTTCCTCTCCACCTGTCCTCTCCTCTATCTATCTTCTATCCACCTCCCACTCTCTCCCTATTTATTTCAGAACACCCTTCCCCTCCCCCTTTTCTGATGAAGGGTCTAGGCCCGAAACGTCAGCCTCTCTGCTCCTATGATGCTGCTTGGCCTGCTGTGTTCATCCAGCCCTGCACCTTGTTGTCTCAGATTCTGCAGCATCTGCAGTTCCTACTATCTCCCACATTTTAAACTTTTAATTAAATTCAGCTGTCATAGATTACCAATGTGAAAGTTATACTCCAATGTGGAAGAATATGGCATTGTAAAATATCACATCCAGGAAACTGAATCATTGCATTCTATTTTAGGTGTGGTTCCTCTTCACGCTCACTCTCCACTGGCAACAGTGGGGGAGACATTATCACCGACTCTCAGGCCTGGAAACAAGTCGCCACGCCACAGACCACTTAATCGGACACATTCTGCTCCACTCCCACAAAACACACAGGCTCTGGCACAGTTGCTAGTTCAGCAGCAACACCAACAGTTCCTGGAAAAACAGAAGCAGTACCAGCAGCATGTACAATTGACCAAGGTCAGTGCTTTTTTTACGTCAACAGTGAGTAGGAATTGACATTTAAAAGATGCTCGTCCACCGAAAACCTCTAAACATAGCCTTCTTCACTCAAGCATTAAAAATGCTCAGCCAATCTGGCAGTATTCATAAGGAAAAGAAGTTTAGAAAGTTTTAAAAGCTAATGGTCAGAATTTAATGCCACACCCACAACGTGGGAGCCATTGAGAGGCAGAGAGTAGCCAAATAATGGAGTGGCACCTATCACCTACCCAACTGCTCCAAATTCAGTCCAACAATGGAAATGCTGGAGGATGGAAGCTCTTAAGCTACCTCCTAATGCCTACTTAAGAGCCTCAACTTATTTCTGTATCACCAGCAGAAGGGAGGAGAAAGATTTTGCTTGTGATCTGGCTCGAGATTAGGCCTGGCTGGGTTGTCTTACTTGTTTGGTCACACTGTGACTAATGAAGGGACCCACCTGCAGCATGGACTTCCTCTGTGGGAAGACAATCATGAGATGCATAGATAAGATGGATAGCAAGGGTCTTTTCCCTAGGGTGGGGGAGTTCCAAATGAGGGAACATTTTTAAGGTGAGAGGAGAAAGATTTAAAAAGGACACAAGGGACAACTTTTTTACACAGAGAGTGGTTAGTGTGTTGGATGAACTGCCAGAGGATGTAATGGATGCAGGTACAATTACAACATTTAAAAGACATCTGGATAAGTACATGAATAGGAAAGATTTGGAGGGATATGGGCCAAATGCAGGCAAGTGGGACTGGTTTAGTTTGGGAAAATGGTCGACGTGGACTACTTGGACCAATGGTTCTGTTTTCATGCTGTACAACTGTATGACTCTATGACTCTATGGACAATTCCCCCAGTTGTTGGAGGCTGACTGAATCACCCTGGTGAACCCACACAATTTGTGATCTGAGGCTCCATTAATCTTTTCCTTCAGACCTACTGAAATACCAACAGTGGCCATTGCTGCCAGTTTCTAATTGAGCAGCAGTTCCTGGATCGCAGTGCAGGCCTACATAATCTTGACAGCTATCAGTACTTTGCCTGCTTGGTCTTCAATAGCATTGGCGCTGCCAGTATTGGCTGTGGTGGGTTACACAAAACCATGTTAGCATTTGATTGTGTTAAGCTTTTGTAAATGTCCTGCTATTTCTTCCGTAATAATCGGCTCTAGTATTTTCCCAATGACAGATGTTAGGCTAAGTGGCCTGTAGATCCTTGCTTTCTGTTTCCCTCCCTTCTTGAACAGGGGTGCCACCTTAGTGGTTTTCTAATTCACTGGAACTCTCCCAGGATGCAGTAAGTTCTAGAATACATTGAGCAATATCTCTACTATCCTCTGCAGCCAAGGGCCGTAAACCCCTCAGATGCAAGCCATCAGCTCCTGGTGACTTGTCTGTCTTCAGTTCCGTTAGTTTGGCAAGTAAAGGGCTGCAATTATGCTGTTTGGAGCAAGAATATAATACAAAACCTGTATAGTTAAAACAGTAATTTTCCTACAATTAAACATTGAGAAGACTTAAGTCATTGTCGGTTTGCCACTCCCCCCAGAACCTCTCCACTCTTCTCTTACCTGTTAATGACTTCATCCCACTCCCTGCTCACTTTCATAGACCGAATTAGTTTGCGATTTCTTAGAATTGTTTGACCTTGCACTGAACTTGTATCCTTATAACGTCTCCATCACAAATCCTAGCAACTTCCAAATATGAGAAACAGTCCATCTATGCCCCTGCCCTTACTTCCCTGATCCTGAAATCATCATCCGTGCCTTTGTCATTTCTTTCTCATTTCTAGACTTCACTGTTCAGTTCTCTGCTTCCAAATTAGCACAGAGTCCTGCTTATCCTTGTGCTTGCAGAACTGCATTAGACCTTAATTTACCAACATCCCAAATTTTAAATTCTCATCCTTTCCTTCAAATGTCTTCATAGTTTTAATCCTTTACATTTTCCGTAAACTCCTTCAATATTAGTGCTCCAAGATTTTAAACTCTAATACTGGTTTACTGTGTATCCCATTCTCCTTTCATCCTTGACAGTTGAATCTTCAGGTCATGAGTATGTGAATTTTTGGAAACCCGACACTTCTGTCTCCTTCTTAACACCCACCTTCAAACCCCTTCTTCTGACTAAAGTTTTAGTCACCCTTCATGATATGTCCTTTTTTAGGGTGGAACAGCATTTAACAGATTATGTGGATTATATTCTGTATGTTATATTATTATCATGCAGGGATGTTTCCTGCATGAATAATGTTTATAAATGCAGATTGTTGTTGCTGTCTTGTCGTTCATCATAGTCTAGAGATTGACCAAAAGACCGTCCCTTATGGCTCAACTAATCACTGAATAAATTCAAAGACTTTTGCAGGGCTTTAAACATTATTAAATATATTATTAGTTTCAGTCATCTCTCCTTGTTCTTGCTGATGGACTATTGAGTTGCGCACCACTCTTTTGAGTTGCTGCTTGTCTGCATTACAGGTTGATTTTTACAGGAGGGTTAGGATTTTAAAAGATGTGTTGAACTACTCATTGATACCGACATAAAAAAGTTACTCCCTGCATGACACTTTCACAGGCTCTGTGTTCTCGGGCCAGAGAGTAGGATATGTCTCCCACCTGCTGAGACAGACAGGTATTACTTTCTTTGATGTGTTTTCGACTGAGATTATGCAATCCTTCAGTGGCTCATTTAGTTACATTCCTTCACTTTCTCTCTGAAACTACTGTAGCTTAGAGACCTCTGTAAATTATGTCCATTTTAATTTCCTGAGTTGAAACAGTTGTACGTGAAAAATGGAAATTGTTGCAGGCTTACATAGTAAACCTCTCTCTTGTGTGTGAAGCCAATAGAGTTTTCTGGAAGTCTCATAACTTACATTTGATGAAACAGTATAAATAAAGTGACAAGGTCAAATTTTGTATCTTCATTGCTGTGGAACACATAAACATTTACAACTGTAACAAAATCATTCTAAAAATATGATTATTTGACGCAAAAATGATATTTATGTGGCATTTTAAGGTAAACAAATGTCTCAGGGCACTTCAGTGGAGAGTTTTAAAATAACTGTAATGTGAGTCACATGCAACAGATCTCCCAAAGCTTTCTCGAAAAGGTAGGCTTTAAGGAGCATCTTTAAAAAAAGAGAGGTGGAGAGGATTAGGGTAGCTATCCAAGTAAGTAATTTGGGAAGTAACTCAGTATCAGAAACTTTTTTGCAGAATACCAGTAAGTGCAGAATTGACCTTTGGAAGAACTGACTTCCTGGCCAATTTTAGTCAGTGTATTGGCACTTTTGAAAGGTTAATAATTCATTCATTCATTCATAGAGAGGTGAAGATCTCCTTGTGTACCTTTTATGTTTCATTTTGTAATGGTCCTGTGAAGTGCCTTGGAGTGTTTTATGCAGCACCTTTGATATAATACATTACAATTTTTTTATATAAAACCTCTACTACATACTATCTAATTTAAGTTTAGATATAAGGGTGATCATTCTCTGGTTTTGTTCCCTTAATATGAGTGGACATAAAGTCTCACAAGCCCATTGATATCCATGACCAAACAAATTCCTTCTGCACATGAAATTCCAAAAAAACCATATAGCCTTTTCATTTGCCATACATGGATGTGTAAAAGATATAAAAACATTCCATCACTTACATTGCAATACAGATGAAATTTTGTTGTTTAAATTACTTTTTTCTGAACAAAAAGGTCTGTTTTGTTACAGACAATTTCCAAACCCAATGAGCAGCTTCAGCAGCCTGAAAGCCACCCTGAGGAGACAGAAGAAGATCTCTGCGAGCAGCAGACGCTACAGGAGATTGAGGGGCCTCCCTGTGGTAGCAGCAAGAGCAACAGCAATGGTACCTATACGAGGTCAATAAAAGAACTTCAACCAGACATTGTGCAGGTGAAACAGGAGCCCCCAGACAGTGATGATGAAATCAAATTCAAACAGCATGAACCTGAGCAAAAAACAGCAATTTTTCACCAGGTAAAAGAAACATTACGTAATCAACTAATCTTCAAAAAGGAATCAAAGAAAAAAACAGCAGCATGAGTGTCTTTACTAGTTGTGATATCTAGAATCAATAATAGAAATACTTTTATTGAATTGTATGTTAGTATCTGTTTAGAGTTTGTTTTTTATGCTCTTATACATTTTTTATTCTCTCCTTTGGGGAATAGTTGGAAAGTGTTCGAAGGATTAGCAAGCTGATTATCAATTGTTGAACCATGTCATAAACACTCCTTCCACAGCCAATGAGTCTTTGAGTGGGACTTGAATTTGTAACTTTCGGTTTCGAGGCAGTGGCACTCATTGATGCACAAGTCTGCTGGTTGTTAAAGCAATTCACCTCAAAACAGACTAAACCAAAATAATTCTCTGTAGGTGACATTTTACAAAGCGGTATTGCTGAAGGTAAGGTCAAAGTCCATCCACTTTTGTATTACTTCAGTCCTGAGGCTGGGAATGGTGTTGAACACGTGCTTGGTGGACCATGATATGAGGGAGTGATAGTGAACGGGATATGAAACAACTGTCAGTTTAGACCTATGGGTGCACTTGGTTGATAAATGATGTAAAGTAGCAAATTCAGAACAGTACATTCTTGTACTGATAAATATATAAGGGGTATGATATATAGGTATTAGCACAAACAGTGGTTTAACATGATGCTGCTGCAAGTATTTTCCAATGTTGTTGTTTTCCCAAGCCCTGCCAGTTGAACTTGTTAAGTGACTAGGACATTCTTTTTCCAGCAGCCTAATGTTACTTACAGTTGTTCTTCATGTATCCCATTTCTTCCTTGTCTATATAAGCCTCTTTTTTGACTCCAAGTTACGTTTCTTACCTTTTATTCCATTGACGTTTTATGATCACCCTGAGACTCACAATAGTATATTGAGCCGGGTAAGACTTTAAGGGACTGCTGAAAGTTAATGATAATGATAATAGATATATCCCAACATAAATCAGAGTAATTTCCCTATTAGAAGGCAATGATTAATACATTCAATTATACATTTTCTGAAACCCTGATCCTAGAACAGTTGCCAGTCTCTATGCACGTAATCCTGGATCATATACTATATGACTACTTCACATCTGTTCAGGTTATAACTTATTGCTTGTTGTCTGATCATATGATACCTTTTCAGAGTTTGCAAATATTTCCATACTTAATCTTGCAAAGGTTGGGTTTCCAGTTTTGTTTCTCATCTTTCGCCATCCTTTTCATAGACTTGTGCAAGAACTTCTGTAAATGAGAAAGTTCAGCAGACTAAGTAAACCAGTCAGTACACTGTGTAGAAGGGTAAGCCATAGGCAAACAGTTCTACTTTTCTCCTTGATTTTTAGCAGCAATGATGCAATGGTTTAAGACATTTGATTTGAAAGGTAATACATCAGAATTCATAGTTTGCTGGTAACGGCTATGTTTGAACATCATTAAACCAGAATCATTTGATCGTTCAACAAATTTGTTTACTCACATTTGGTTAACCTGCTATTTTGCAGTGTGTTGAATGAAAATTAGCTGATTTCAATTCAAAATGTGCTAACCACACATGAAGCAAATTATTTTGTGCTGCATTCTTACACTTTTAAGTCTGGCCACTTCCTTTGGTATTTGTCCATCCTTCAAGATTTTAAGACAGAAGCATCAGCATGCATTATCCTCGGTTCAGATTAACATAATATACAAAATTATTCCATGACAAAAGCAACATTTTGTTCTAGCATTCACAGTAGCAGAAAAATAATTCTGGCTTAGCCATTCTAATGGCTGGACAGTTGTTTCTGTATCATTGATGGGAACTACATATAGGGACCCTGTGGAATCTCTGACATATCAGATCCAGAGAGAATTGCTTGGGAAATTGGAGATTCTCCAGGGCAATTCCCCTCTTGAAAACCTCCAAAAGTAACCATTTAAATGTTAACTATGTATTGCATTTTCAGGTGTAAGAATAAACTTGTATTATAACTTGTTTACAGTTAGAGAAAGAGTTAGGGTTAGGAAAGAAAGGAACTTGTAAATTAGGGCAGGCATTTTAAATCCTACATTGAAGCATAGTAATTCATCATCAGAGGGGAACAGAACTTCTGTGGCCATCAGAGTTTGGGTAAGGACTTACCTCAGATGGCACTCAGGGCTGACTTTAAAACATTGGAAATGGCAAAGGAATGAATGAGGGCTCAGCAGAAATGAAAAATTGATAGGGCTAGTGTTGCAGAGGTTAATATATACTATTAAGGTAATGAATGCGATATGCAGTTCATTTGAAATGAAGTTCAACTTGGACTCATGTGGGATACTAAAAGCTACACATCGCTTGGTTACTTGAGGAAAGATGTGGAATTTAAAGCTAGAATGTAGAGTTTTTAAATAGATGGTCTTGATCCTGCTGATTTTAACTTGAAGAACATTCTTCATCCATGATTTGATATCCCCTGGACGTAGTAGATGTAAAGATGAGTTTCATCATTACTATGTGTAGTAGTTGGGCCTATTCCATGGGATATTTTGCCAAGCTAGAGGATGCAGATGATGCAAAGCAGGGGGTCGAGGGGTTGGGGTTGTGAATGGCGGCAGCGGATGCGACTATTCTCTTCCATGTTTATATTTTGTTCAAAAATCCAATGAAGGTTTTGTCTAAGCAATGGTTAAAACAATTTGAGCATTGATTCTATGATCCAACTCTCCAATCGAAGGACAGCACACTTAGTGTGTATTGCAGGTAGTTGTGTGCATGCAGCTACTGATTATCTGTCCTGCAAAATGAATGAAAATGAATAGAGGGTGCTAGATTGATAACATACTCAATTCATCAAACTTCTTTTGACCAAACAGAAAAGGGCAATGTCTTGGTGTCCCAAAAATGTGACCATGAAGGTCAAGTGCATATGCATTGCCAACTAGCGTACCCCAATATTTCAAGGTCGAATAGAAATGCTGATAGTCTTGTCAGACCTACATATAAAATTGAAACCAGAAACTTTTATATTTGGTATTTTATACAATTACTGAAGTTTACCTGGAAAACATCTAGATACAAACTCATTATCACGTACATATTGTGAAATGCAGAGAAATCTGAGCGGAAATAAAACGACTTTCACCGGTGTTACTTTGGAATGCGAGAATAATATTAAAAACACCTTGCTTTTTTTTGTTGTTTTACATTATGCGTAACATTCAGGAATGATCAATTTTTTCAGAATGGGCTACTTATGATTATTGCTCATCAACTTATCATGCCAGTTCTTCTTTGGAGATATGCAATATTTATAATATTGATCATGTTGTGACGAGACCTGAGATCTTAAATTTTATTTCTGTTGTTATGTTTACCTTACAGTTGAAATATATTCTTGGTCCACATTGATCTATGTTTTGGGGCCTTTATGTTTGATATTTGCTTGGATTCAACATCATAAGCATGTTTAGAAACCTTCAGTCCCTTCAGAATTGCAACTTTTCCGGTCCAGTCTCTAAATAGACTATGTGGCAAATCAGAAATATTACTTTAAACAAGGGGAAAAATCTTATACGGGAAAGATTTCTGCCAGAATCATGGAAGAAGTCTAGTGAGGCCTATCTTGAAATCAGGAACAACTTGCTGCATCACTTGTGCATTCACTGGGTGGTGAGGAGAGTTTCTCACTTGGCCTCACAGTGATAAACCCTCCCAAAAACCTGATACAATTCACACTTAGCCAAAAAAACACATTAATATTCAACCCAAAGTGATTGTAATAAATTCTATGTCATAAAATCACAGAGCTGGCTGTCAGTTTTCTGTCCTGGCAATTTGCTTAAACAAATTGGAACCTGTGATGCCCAGAGAAAATGTCAGATCTTGAAGTTTTACAAAAGCAACGTATCTAACTGTTTCATCCAAACTTGTCAGAAACTGTGAGAATTCCAAAGAGTATATTAACTCCTTTACTGTTCCCAGTTCTGCTTTCTTAAGTAGTTCTTTTTTTGTTTTAGTTTTTAGTCGCTTTAGTTTTAGTCACTTTTTGTCTTGTTTTTGTGTGGAGTATTGCTTATAAATAGGCGTATTGAAGTATATTTTACCAAATAAATCTCATGACCAAGGTGCTAGGGTAAATATGATGGATGGCTCTCATATTCTCCCATAAACAATTTACCATGGCAAAGGGTCATTGTTACACCCATATATACCATTTTAATCAAGATTGTGAACAACAATTTTCATCTTTCTTCACAAAAGCACAAGTCTGTGAATGGAAGCTGCTATCCAGCTCTGATTTCAAGAGCAAGGGCTTTAAGAAAGCTTGATGCTTTGCTTACCCTCTATTGCAGTTTTTTGAATTTTGGTAAATTATTCAAAATTGGTTCCCGTATCAACATTTTCATTCTTCTATTGCCAGGTTATTGCATTCTTAATTTCAATTAGTACTTGTTTCGGTTAGAGCACACATGCTAAGGGTGCTTTAAATATGTCTGACCTGAAAATGGATGGGGCTATTTCTTTCTGGCAGCATCTAAAACAGGGACTACATCCTTTACAATTATAAAAAAGGATTCAATGTCTGTTTTAGCTCCCTTATAGAAACTGATGTATGATGAATGAGTTAAGATTCTTTTGCTACAGTGATGTTGTGAACATTTGATCCTCTGGCCCTGTGCTAAATGATTAATCTACCATTTCCATTCCCATTTTCAACCAGGGCTGGTAAATGATACTTACCAACATATAAAATATGAGCAGAACAAGGCCATTTAGGCCCTCAATCCTGCTCTACCTTTTAATAAATTCATGGCTGATCTGTTTGTGTTTTAAATTGTACAGTAAGGCAGATTGAAGGTTGATGCCCTCAGTCAATCAATGTCAATGTCATCACCAATGACGAAGGCTCCCTAAAACTCTTGCTGTGGAAAAAAAAACTATAGTTTATCTAGTTCTAATCCCAGTAGAGTTTAGTGAGAAGTGCCACAAAAGTGCATATGTTTAAATAAG